GAGGAGGGCATCATCTGCGGGCCAGAGGGAACCGGGCCCAAGACAAACCGTGTGTGTGTGTGTGTGTGTGTGTGTGTGTGTGTGTGCACGTGTGTGGCCGTGTGCTCGGCTGTGTAGGAGCCTCTCCCGTGGCGGCAGCTGTTGAACACCCTTTCTTAGCTCTCTCCCAGAAACCTTGATTTATGCTGCTTCTGGAGCCACGGAACTAGACTCTCCTCCCAGCTACAGCAAGATAATAGCTGCTGGCTACAGCTGGGAATTCTCGAATTCTTTCAAACTGGAGACTAGGAACGAGAGGTGAAGAAAAGTTCTTCTGAGGTCCAAAGAGGAAAATGGGGCCCAGCGGTGTCATCTGAATGCTTCCAGCGGGACCCGAAAGCACAGAACCATGAACTGTAGAAAGTGAACGCTGGCTCACTCAGCACATCCTTTTGTGTTTCTCGACTGATTGTTTCTCTTTGTCTCTTCCAGCTGAAGAGTAAGCATGAGTCATCGGCCTGACTTCTAACCGAGGAAGGGAGCCTCGCAAGGTAAGACGGCTGTTTATGTAAAAGAGAAAAGGGAAAACCCGATCTTAACTCCTAGTCACTCATCTGGGCAGTACAGAGTATATACCGGAACAGATCTTATACTTTGGTAACGGAACTGGATGTTCGTCAGTAAAACTCCACGTCACTGGATGGGCAGAGTTGACTGAATTGACATCTGCCAGTGGTGTTCCCACAAGTGTTCCCGAGCAGAAGCCTATTATTCCTCGGGGTCTGTTCCAGTGCTTGAAGTTCCACTGCCAGAGTCATCGCTTGTGGGCCGCCAGGCTAGAAAGACTTGGAGAGGCCCTTATGAAAATAGAACCACTGCTGAAGCCTGGCACGTTTTATTAACTCCTACCTTAGGTTGGCTTCAAGACTTGAAGAAGCTGCTGGGACAGGGAGCAGACGCTCTAAGGCCAAAGACGTAGTAGCCCTCCAAATCTCGGGGCCAGTCTGCCCGGGACCTAGCCCAAATCCTGGTCATTCACATACCACCCCCCAAGTTTTGCCCTGTTGTCATACTCCCAACACCATTCCATGTTTTCCTTCAAGCCAGCTCACGTTTGTACTGAAAGCAGCTTGTGACAGCGCCGTCTACCCAGCTTTGTCCTAATGAAATCATGGGTTAGGGGCACTACATTTCTCTAATCCATATTAAAATAAAGATCGGTTAAAAGACAAACCAAAAACTTCACTGGCCCCCGTATCACCAGAGCTTCACACACTTCACTCTGGGAAGCACTGGCCTGGTTCAGACAAAGTGTATTACATATAAAAGTTTATATTAAAAATAGGTTACAGTCCCTCATTTCAAGGTACTCAATACCCAGTAGTTGAAAACAACTGTTGCCTTTGTAGTTAGTTGCATGAGCTCTGGAAGATCATGAATTTATGGGAGGTCATGTCTTCCTCTGCGAGGTCATGAAATTCAATCAATGCTTGCCTTCCAATCTGCCCTTTGGTCACAGGGCTCCACAGGTGGAACATATCAAACTCACCAGCCAAATTATGACTCTTAATTGGTGTTTCTTTTAAAGTGGATATGTCATTTGTCAAATGTTCAATGCAGACGCAGGCCTAGCCCCAGGCAAAATTATGAAGTAGGAGAGGAATGCCAGATACATAGGCGGCACTCAAATGTTTGTTGAAAAAAGAATGAATGAGCCCTCCGTCCTTGACTCCTTCTCTCCCAACCCCCACAGCCCCCAGGTCACTATGCCTTTTTCATTCTACGCCCAAATACAGCTGCTAGTTTTTTGCCTTCCAGATCTCCTCTGCCCTGAGCCTTTATCATTTCTCGACTGGATTATTTTCACAGCGTTTTCACTTGCTTCCAATCCTCTTCCTTCTCCAAGCCATTCTCCACAATCCACGATGTCGCTGGAGAGATCTTTTCCTAAGGCAAACATGATCATGTCACCCCTCTGCTTAACATTCCCTTACGTGGTTCCCCAGGCTCCTTGGCCTGGCTTCAAGACCGCATAATCTGGCCCTTGCTCACCTTGGCTGGTTGAGCTCCCCTGACCGCCTGCCTACCTAGCGTGAAACATTACTTGTGCTTCCCACTTGCACTTCTCCAACGGGGGCCATGCCAGGCTCTCCTGGCTCAGGCTCTGTTCACGCTTCTTCTTTTCCCTTGGCACCCTCCTTGCCATCTTCTTTTCTGACCTCAACTGGCCTTTTCCATCTAAGTTTAGGGAACCATCTCTTCTGGGAAGCTTTCTCTGACCTACTCGCTTACCCCTTAGAACCCGTTGCCTTTTGCCTCTGTCTTATCTCCGACTCTGTGCTGCGTTAACATTTTCTACTTGGTTGTTTTCCCCATTAACTTGTAGGTCTTTGAAGTTAGGTACCATGGGTTAATCTTTGGATCCCCATTGTCTGTTTGCATCCCACATATCTGGCGTGTAGTAGGGTAGTAGGAGTTCAAATATTTGTTATTGAATGAATGAATGAACAAATGAGTCAACTCCTCACCAGGCTTCCCTTCCTTTGCCTCTTTTCTCCACCTGCAAGTTCTGGCACACGCCCCTGGCCTGGCACTCCCTGGAAAACTCCTGGCGTGGAGGCTCTCCCTTTTCTTTCCTTAGCAAAACCTACTTTTACCTCCATCAGAAGCAACACAATCAGATGATAAACTAATTCACACTGGGGTGTTAAGTCACGTCATTATACAAATACTTATTGAGTTCCTACTATGTGCAAGGCACTATGCTAAGGTGTGTGCGTGGGAGTTGCACAGAAAATAAGAGGGGAGTTAAAGATCCTTGCCTAGGAACACATAGGTAATGACTAAATGCATTCCTCCTTGGAGAGGTATTTCATTTTCAAAGAACTGGTTCTGATGGTGAAATTTAAGCAGGAGAGGTGGGGATTTGGGTCTAGGAGACAACAGCCTTCTACTCCTTCTGCGAAACGGGCTAGCTCTGGCTCAGTGAATTTGCTGTGTCCAATGATTTTGTAATGAGTTAGGCTGGCGTTAAGCTCCAGGTTATTTTGTTGTCGCCAGTTGTGCTTTGCTTCACGAAGCGTCACCTGGGGCTATCTTGCAGGAGACAGATTCTTTTCACATTCTGGGATCAGGTGCTTTCTCTGATTTTGCGTGGCTCTTTGGAATCAAACCTAGCACATCCCACGGGCTTTGAGACTTTTTAGGTACGGGAGTCAGAGAAGAGGCAGGCTGTGACCCGCCCCTCCCCCCCCCCCACCGCCGCACCGGCGGTCGCCAGCTGCCCCAGAATGTAACTATTCGTGGGTTGGGTTTGCGAACCCGGCCGGGGTTGCCGCGTTGGGAAAACGGTGCGAGGGAAGCCCCTCGGAGAGCAGGAAGAGGTGGTGGATTTTGCACGGAAGGGGAAGACCTCGGGTGGCTCCGGTGGCCAGAGACGAGCTGGACAGGGCTGGCAGGAGGCCTGTGGCGAAGCGGAGAGGGGCCCCGAGGCCAGGGAGCCCCGCGCACCACGAAGAAGGATGGAGAGGTTGCAAAAATCCTAAAGGGAAAAGCCCTGCCGGCTGTAGGCCAATGAGCGGCGGGAAGGAGGAGTGAGGCTGGGGAACTTCTCCCAGAGCCAGTCAGAGGGGACGGCTGCTGGGAAGCCAATCAGCGCGCCGGAGCCCGCAGCCCCTCTGCAGTAGTTATGCCAGAGCGCCCTGGGTAGAGCGGCGGCGAGCGGGCAGCTGGGCTGGGCCGCCAGGAGCCACCGCACGCGCTCGGCGCCCTCCTCCCCGCCGCCCTCGCCCGGTCCCCGCGCCGCCGCGCCCCCGCGGGCCCCGCGGCCCCGCGCCCCGCACCCGCGGGCT